GCTCTGCAAAATGTCAAAACTTTAGTGTGCATTCCCACTATGGCGACAAAGAAGGACAGCATAAAAAACGGTCACTAATCAATAAGTACGACCTTTACAGCGCGACATCGCGTCGCGTCACCAAGCTGAGTGCAGCACAAGTGAGCATCGACCTTAATTCAAATTTTGATACCTTTCCCCTCGCCTTTCCCTTTAAATCTATGGAATCAGTCGATTTTTTTAATTTCTCGTATTAGGTTCAGTCTGCAGATTGACTTGTATAATTTTAAGTATATTTCTCTTGTAATTTATTTATGAACGTACGGAAAGACTTTCGGATATCGGTGTGCTCCGACATCAAAATGAACAGACGGACGGACATTCTGTATGCCAAAGCTAATTCTTTTGCTACTTATAAATACTGTAAGTAATGGAAAGGTTTACTATCTAGAGCTTGGCTTGGCGACATCGATGTCGGATAAATTATTAACAACATGCATTTAAAGCTGCATATGGAAACGTTCCCCGATCAATGTTTCGTTAATTATAACTCTTAATAATATAATAAGGCAGCAGTTTAGTCGTTCTCCACTCGTCGACATATCAGTATTTGTATTGAAAATGCCAACGGATTTTTTTAAAAAATTCAGAAAATATTCAAAATTTTCCGGGTTTGTATTGTCAAAGGAGATAGATATATGTGGGAGAATTGCTTCGTTTACATTTTTGTTTGGGATTTATCTGTATAGTGCTCTGTACTTCAGTCGAAGATGGAATTTGGATTATGACATTGAAGTTTATCTTCATGTGGCTGTTATTGCGAATGGTACATTGAAGTATAACTTTGATTTTTTTATAAAAAATAATTTTTAGTTGTTCCACGTTGTACTATAATGAGAATATACAGATCGAAGCTAGCACATCTCTTGATTTTATTGGAAAATTCTGAGAAATTTAAAGTTAACAGAGCAACCGACCTTTGCGCTGAAATCGAAGGGGTGGTATCGAAAATGGTAGGTATGTAGTTCATTTTATTTGTTTAAAACACACTAAAATGTTCAAGGCCTCCGTTACCTTTCCGCTTCTTCTCTGGCTTCTAATAATTTCTTTATCTTCATGGTTTTTGCTAAACAAGTACGAAGGTCTCCCTTTTGGTTCAATGCCTACATGGGTGATGAATTACAGTTTTCCACTGTGTTTGGTCATGCAAATTACGGTATACACTTTTATGGGTTACGAGTACATAATAGTGGACGCTTTAAAGTTAAGCACCATGATGCAACTGAAGATGCACTTTAAATACTTAACACTAAGCGTTCACGAATTAATTTTAAACGCAAAGGAAGATTTTTGCACAGATAATGGATTGGAATCGTGCCCTGCCTCCGATGTTCCATGGCCATATCTTCAAAAACCATTTAAAAGAATTGTACTACATTACAATTACGTTATCGAAGTTGCACGGGTCACCGAGACAGTCTTTAACAAATGTGTATTGGTCACCTTTATTAATCTATCTATTCTATTTTGCTTTATCTTATTGAATTTGTCAAATGTAAGTAACACAAGTTATAGGATTCCACCTCCTTTAATGTAAAACTTCTCAGGTTCCGGTTTTTAGCATGCAATGTTTGACGCTTTGCAGTTATGTCGCGGGAGGAGGTGCACTGTTCTTCGCAGACTGCTATTTCACACAGATGGTGATAACTGAAAATGAGACTTTTGCTTATTCTTTTTACGAAATCGATTTTGTCGGTACCTGTTTGACTTTCCAAAAAAGTCTGATTTTGTGTATGGCAAGGGCGCAAAAACCCGTCAAGTTTACTATTGGAAAATTTGCACCTCTCACGGTGGTTGCGATAGTTACCGTAAGTTGTAGATAAGACAAGATATTCTTTTATTTTTATTTTCAGGTACTCAAGGCGTCATATTCTTACTACACGCTGTTACAAAGCCGTGGAAAGCATTAAACACCTGATGCACTCTCACACTAAGCACGTTTAAGTATATCAACACTGATGAAGTATCTGGTAAATTGCAAGTAAACTACAAGTAAATTCAATCTTTAAATTTTAAATAGAAGTCACAATGTTGCAGCGAATAAGATAAAGTGAAAAGAGGCTTTCACCTGAAGACGAATATCACTTTAGCGCATTTTCCATGAATTGATCAGTACTTCCCGAAAGTAACGGACCATTTATGTGTACAAAGGAAAATAAGTTAAGGCATAAATATTCTTACAAACAAGCATTGGCAGTCTGCGCGTGCGCAAATCTGATTTTTACAGTATGCGATATGCTTGTCTTTACTAGAAGCATATGTGGTTCAAATTTCCAAAAAAAGTTGTTTTTGCGCAGTTTGCGTATGCGTAAATGAATCGTCAAGATTTGTCTTAGTTGAGGTGCTAAAGCTGTAAGCTACTGAATGCAAAAAGAATGAACTAAATATCTTGAAAACTATAGGAGTACTTAAGGCCTCGGCCGGATGGATGGACGGAGGTTGTGCCCATAATAGGCCTTTCAACGCGAGTTGGAAAATTCACTAAAAAAGGTCACGCTTCAGTGAACCATTGACGCACTTTTGCAACTCTTACGTTAAACATAGCATAGGCAATCAACCTAAAATATTACACCTACAGATAAGCATGTACAACAGAGAGTAGTAATCAAAAATGTTCTGGCACCAATGAATGTAATCAGAGCTTAGTTGCAAAATAAATGAAGTATAAGGATTTTGTAATTATTTTCCACTTTCCTTCGGGACTGTGTACTTTAAGAAGAGGATGAGCACACGTTTACAAGCATTCGGGTCTCACACTTTGACCTTTGTGCTGCCTCTCCTGCCACCCACACTGTTGTCGGACGGGCCGAAGGGGGAGGGCAGAGGAGTATAGATTTATTATTACGTAGAAAGCATAATGGAATCTTGCCCGTCGTATGTCTATGCATTTAATTCAAAGTATGATCAGCATAATTATAAAAGGGCAATTTGTATTTAGAATGCGCTATCAATGACAATACCCATGCTGTACTGGAATGCCGTTACTTTGAAAAATAATCTAAGACGACCATATTGTTACGGTAAACCCTGTACTCACGGGTGAAATATATGATTAACAACGCGTAAACTATTAGGAGTCGTTCGAGATAAGCGATATCAAGCGTTTTGGCTAACGAAATAAACTCTCTCACTTTCTCGAATGCAGCAAAACTCTTACTTGCCAGAATCGCATAAGTTATTTTCTGAACGTAGTTTAAAACATCAGTATTGTGCAACTAAGGGCCGGTTGCACAAACGCAGTTTAAACTTCGTTTAAATTAACGCAATGGATTAAGACATGATTAGTGGAAATGTGACAAAACGTCAAATTTCAACCAATCCTAGACCGTAATCCACTGGTTAATTACAAGCTAGGTTTAAACTGTCTTTGTGCAACCGGCCCTAAGTAGTTATGTAATAATTATTCCGAGTATCATAATTATTGTATTAATTTAATTTGTGTACATATTCACCCCCTTCTCAGGGTTAAAGTTATCTAAGTAGTATTATTTAATTTAGGTCTATTCGAGCGTTTCTCGCAACACTGTCGTTAAGTGGGCAAAATTGGAATTGACTGTTTTCAGTGGGCCACCCTGTATTATGAATTTGTAGATCGCCAAAGAGGTTTGAGTGGTAGGCAAAACCAAATAGATTTATTGCTTGATTTTTCTAAAATCAAATGTTATAACATAGCGTGTTTCAATTCTGCACCTACACCTTAGATTCCTTGAAGCTGCCGAATTTTTTATCTCGCGGATTGGGTCAGTTTGCAGATTCATTTGCATCATAATAAGTTTATTTCTCTTTTAATTTATTTATTAACGAATGGTGGCACGTGTGAGATATGTGCACGCCCATATCAAAATGGTTGGACGGACGGACAGATATCATCTCAAAAGGTATACCGGTAAAGCTTTTTCTCCTGTCATATGTGGAAAGACTTACTATTTAGTGCTTGGCGACATCGATGTCTGATAAATTATTAATAAGATGCAATTTAAAATGCATACAGAAAAGTTTCTCGATCAATGTTTCACTTTTATAACTCTAACAGAATGATGTGGTCGGAGTTCAGTCATTCTTTATTCGTGGGCACATTTGTATTGAAAATGCCAACGGAATTTTTTGAAATATTCAGAAAATATTCGACATTTTCCGGGCTTGTATTAACAAAAGAGATAAATATAGGTGGGAGAATTGCGTCGTTTACAGTTTTGTTAGGGATTTACCTGTACAGTGCTCTCTACTTTACTCGAAAATGGAATTTAGAAAATGAAATTGATGACTATGTCTATGCCGCTGTTATGGCCAATGGTACCTAAGTTAAAATACAATTCAGTGTTGATGTTTATAAAAAATAATTTTTAGTTGTTCCACGTTGTACTATAATGAGAATATACAGATCGGAGCTAGCACATCTCTTGATTTTATTGGAAAATTCTAATAAATTTAGAGTTAACAGATCAACAGACCTTTGCGCTGAAATCGAAGGGGTGGTATCGAAAATGGTATGTAGCCCATTTTACTTATTTGAATCAATATTAAAATGTTCAAGAGCTCCATTACCCTTCCAATTATGATCTTGGGCATAATAATTACTTTATTGCCCTGGTTTTTGCTAATCAAGTACGAAGGTCTTCCTTTTGGTTCGATGCCTACATGGGCGATGAATTACAGTTATCCACTGTGTTTGAGCCTGCAAATTATGGTATACATTTTTTTGTGTCACGATTACGTAATACTGGACACTATAAAGTTGAGCATTTTGATGCAACTAAAGATACACTTTAAGTACCTAACACTAAGCGTTCACGAGTTAATTTTTAACGCAAAGGAAGATTTTTGCACAGATAAAGCATTAGAATCATGCTCGAACTACGATGTTCCATGGCCATACCTTCAAAAACACTTAAAAAAAATTGTTCTGCATTACAATTACGTTATCGAAGTTACCAGGGTAACCGAAACAGTCTTTAACAAATGTGTATTGGTCAGCTTTATTAATCTGTCTATTCTAATTTGCATTAGCTTATTAAGTTTGTCAAATGTAAGTAACACATGATACAAGATTCCACCTTATCTAATGTATAATAACCTCACAGATTCCAGTTTTTAGCATGTAATGCTTGAAGCTTTGCATTTATATCACGGCAGCAAGTCTACTGTTCTTTGCAGACTGCTATTTCACACAGAAGATGATAACTGAAAATGAGACTTTTGCTTATTCTTTTTACGAAATTGATTTCGTCGGTACCTGTTTGACTTTCCAAAAAAAGTCTGATTTTCTGCATGACAAGGGCCCAAAAGCCCGTCAAGTTTACTATTGGAAAATTTGCACCTCTCACGGTGGTTGCGATAGTTACCGTAAGTTGTAGATAAGACAAGATATTCTTTTATTTTTATTTTCAGGTAACCAAGGCGTCATATTCTTACCACACGCTGTCACAAAGCCGTCGAAAGCATTAGACACGTAATTTATCCTTTTCACACTACGCGTTTATTATTCTTCTGTTAAATCAATACTGATGAAGTATCTAGTAAATTGCAACTAAACAACTAAATGTTTTAAATTGTTTATTCACTACTAGCATTACAACGTATAATTAGTAGGCTGGTATTCGATGCTAGATTTTATTTTTCTCTACCTCGTGGATTATTTCTCTCCTAGTAGGAGATAATGAATTTGACATTTGGGTTGCCTATAATTAGGGGCAATAAATAAACAACTATCGTTCTACGTTATGTTAACGAAGTTAACAAGGATTTTATTGAACTGAACAGAACTTAAAGAACTTACTTTTGAAAATTATAATTAATCACACAATTATTGTACGCGATATTCTTCGAAATACACCAACATAACATTTTCACTAACTTGTGAAAAACATTTTGTTTGACGCCACTCTTTAAAATTTAAATAAATTTTATTGTAATAATGTTTTGATTTTTCAGGCAAGAGGTCGTTAGGGGCCACGCTTTTTGCTGCCTCTCGTATGTCTGGAGGAGTGCACGAAAATTCACTATCCGTATTTATTTAACAGAAATTAGCTAAACACGCAAAATGCAACTTACAAATAATGTAATGTCAAAGTCACAGCCTTCTTGTAAAAGTACCTACCTATTATAGGTACTTAAAATCCCCAAAATCGTGTTTTCTAATGATATTTAAATATGTGTTAAAACAGTTCATCTGCTAGTAGTGAATAAAATAATATATAAACCACGGTAGAGAAGACTTTTAATCGCCTCGCTTCTTATTTCCCTCGACGCGAAGCGTCTCGGGAAATAATACCGCTCGGTTAAGAAAATCAACTTCTCTACCTTGGTGTATAATTAAATTACTATTATTTTTCTTTAGCAATCAAGATCAAGAGAGCGAACTCAAAACGTCATCCGTGTCAGGTTTAGTTGACATTCTTATCCCCGACCTCTAGAGTTTGAATGGAGAACACAGTGCTATAGAAGTACCTCCATTTTAACGCGCAAATTAATTCCAGACTGTGTGTACAGTACATGGATTAGAACAACTGCGAGTTGATGGATGCAGTGCGACTATCAATCGTTGATATCAATATTAGATGGCGAGGAAGTGCTTAGTTCCAATCTTTTATTCTTACTTATTATTAAAGAACTCACAATATCGCATAGTACAAGCAAAAAGGTCACCCTTCAGTGACTCATTGACGCACTTTGCAACTCTCATGTTAAACTTAGACAGCTGCCTACAATATTATTTATAACTAGAAATAAGCATGCACGACAATCTAGAGGTAGTAAACAATAATTTGTGGAAGCTTCTGAATGTACTACTCAAAGCTCACTTATAAAATAAATGAAGTTTAAGGTTTTTGTATTATTTTCTTGGGATTTGTGCAATTTCAGAAGAGGATGAACACTTGCCCACCGCACTCGGGTCTCGCGCTTTGACTCTTTAATAGAAAGAGGTGATATTAAAATTTTAGAAAATAGCACCACCAATAAGAATGTTAGTTCTGCGCATGCGCATGATGCACTCGACTTCTGACATGTTTGTCGTAAGAAATGAACTTGCTTTTAATAGATAGAGTCACTGCTAAAGTTTCAAGAAAATCACTTCGCTTCACAAATAAGACAGTGGTCCAGTAAAATTTGCATTTTTTTTTCGTTTTTCCTCAAAGTAGGCGTTTTTCTAGGAGCAATTCGCCCAATTTGTATCAATCAACCTACGAGGCATCGTAAACAACATTTAATAATTAAAGGTATAAGCTTTTGTATACCAGAGGCTCTATCTTGCTAACAAGAAAAAGTCCGACAAGGACGACAACGATACCATGGCAGGATTTTTTTTTCAGATCAATTTTAATAATAATAATAATAATAGATTTTAATTCCCATCAAACAACACAAGGCCTAGTTACAGATGAGAAAATGTATTTTTGTAATGTAATTTTATTGTGCATTTTCTTAGAAATGTTCCTATAAGGAGGCATGTTACAAAAACTAGCCACCTTTCTTGAATACATAAATTGACCAGAATAAACCATATAAAACCATCCGCAAACATCCTTGTAGAATACTAATTGCACACAACACTATGGTCTTGATTACACAAATAGATTTCAGAAAGCTTTTATTAATATTTGCTCCCGAATTTTATTTACTTTCTAGGGTACAAAAACCTAATCTACGTGACTCAAATAACTTACTTTATTAAGCAAGAAAGTCAAGAAAAGCTTGTAAAAAAATGCTTCGTCGATAAAGCATAATACATCCTGATTTCGGTATAGTACAGGTTACCTTCCTTATCTACCACAGAAAAGGTTGTTAGAAATTGAAACTCCTTAAATCTGGGCAAAGGACAATTCTTAGAATTAATAAAAAGAAATGGAACTTATAAATTAAAGACTAATTTGTACCCACAACATTAGAATTTGTACCGGCATAGTTTCGCCGGAAAACTCACTCTAAGGTATTTAAAGACCTACTGGCATAAATTCAAAATATACGCTATATAATGCAAGGAGATTCAAGCCTTTAGAAAAATTCTCCGCAATCTTGCATTTTCCCTTTATCGGTACCCTCCTCCGACACTCCGTTCTGCAGATTTGGCATTGAATGTCACTTGTAGATGTGTCTTGGCCAGACGTTCCATTTGACCTTTATCAGTATCCTTTTCTGAGATTTGACATCACTAATAGATATATTTCATCTAAACATACCAATCGCCCTTTTTGAGTACCCTTCTCCGACACTTCGTTCTAAAGATATTAGAATCAATCACGTTATCACTTGTAGATGTGTCTTGGCCAGACGTTCCATTTGACCTTTATCAGTATCCTTTTCTGAGATTTGACATCACTAATAGATATATTTCATCTAAACATACCAATCGCCCTTTTTGAGTACCCTTCTCCGACACTTCGTTCTAAAGATATTAGAATCAATCACGTTAAGGGGTTGAGGAGGAGGACTGAGGTTGATAGAAACTAATTCCTTTCGTTGAGACATTTCATTAGAATACCATGAAAGATAAAATAAATTTCTAACCCCCATCCCCTCTCCCCACTCACCAACTCATCTTAAAAAGGAGTCGCGAATGAAAGTTATAGTTTGTAGAACCCAATTCCTTTCGATGAGACATTTCATTAGAAAACCATGCACGTGTGTTTATACGTTACAATTTCCTCGTGGGTACAAACAATACATTTATAACAGTCTTGAAATGGATTACTTTGTAATAGTTAAGTAATTTCATTCACAATTTATAACATAACATGAAATGAAGCACTTTGAATTGATGTTAGAACTGAGTCGAAACACAATTCGATTTGCTTATATAGCAAACTCCGTTTTTTTTTTTAAAGTTCCCGAACGCTCCCGAATATTCTAGTGTTTCCGAATAAACATACAAGCAATATTTCCCGGAAATACCGATGACTAATCTTTTATGGCGCCTCGATGTCTATCGGGATTTCTACAATATTCGCTACAATACATATAAACAAAGACAATAGAAATAATAAAATCTTGAGAACACTTGTGCATTGTAAACAAGTAAAATTGTGTTTGTATCGGCAACTTGCTTTAAAATGCGTATTTTGGTAACATACATATACAGTACAGTATTAAATTGTAGCGATCTTTCCATGTGAGTTTGCCATCGACTTTGAAACCCAAAAATCCTATATAAAGAATGCATCCATCATTTTTATACCAACCGTTTGGTCCAATAGTATACGTCTGTGAAGTCTCATATTCTTAAGAACGCGTTTACCAATTTTCAAAGCAATCGGGCGTTTCTAAACAGTTATTGTTATTGTGTACATGGACAGACAGACAAACGGACAGATATGCAGACAGCAATACAAAATTATAAACGATCTCGAGGATCGTTCCTAATTTAGCAGAGTGCATTATTTCGATCTCGATATTTTTAATAAGTAAACGTTTAATGAAAATAATTATCTTTAATTCATACGTTGCATTTCTTTTTACTAATTCCAAGAATTGTCCTTTTTAAAAAAAAATTGTTATAATGTATAAATTGTTTAAACAATGAAATTCTAACTTGGGTACAAATTAGTCTTTAATTCATAGTTTTTAACCAAAATCGTCCTGAAACCTTCATAGACCGGGAGGCAGCGTACATAGTAACTAAACCATAAGCGACAAAAAATTCGACAATACAGGCTGAAAGTACGTTGAAAACTAATAATAAAATCACTCGTCTGCCAGTCGTAAGTGGCAGCATTAACTTGGGGCGGCGCTGAATAGGTGACTTCTTTTGGTGCTCAATTAAATTACCAAACTATAAGGGTCACGGAAAAGATTTGTATCAAGAAATCCCATTTTTTCCATAGTTTTCAAATATGCTATGGCAGACGATTTCAAGTGCAGCGTTGGTAGCGAAAGACGCCCTCCAATGTAGGGAAAAACACCCCTGAACACCATGAGGACCGTATAAAAATTATACATAAAAAAATTCCTCTTTTTGTCACTACTTTAAAATATATCCTGGCAGACGATATTAAGTGTACCTTTAATAGTGGCAGACGTCTTAGAAGTTAAAAAATTTAGGTATAGTAAATCCCAGCGAGTGCGAGCGTGTGAGAGACAAGCGCGCGAGAGCACAACGAACAGAGATAGCTATAGATTTACGCACCGCTTGGAGTTACCAAACGAATTAAATTAGGGAAAATAATAAATTGTTTATTTCGCGATAAGATTGTCGGTATTTCTTGAATTCTTCTCAGACTGAGAAACAGAAAACTTGAAGAGAAAAGAAGATAGATCTTCAGCTCGTTCTAAACTATCCTCTGACTCCAGTTCCGTTGTCTCTATGCAACATTGATGGATCGATGATTAAAATTTTGGTTTGCTGAAACTTTTTCGGAAGTATGATTTCTTCAAGTGCTCCTAGTCCATCGCCAGTTGTAGATGTTGTTTTAATCGATGGATTATTTTTTTTGCATCTTTTAAAACATTTCCGGTAAACCTTTGAGCGATTTTCTGAACACATCCTCGACAAGATTTATGCTGTGTCAGCGAGAGAAGTACATCTTACTTTTGACAGATAGTTACCCCTTCCATGAAGGACGCAGAA